GCCCAAAACATCTCCTCCGTGGAGTGTCCCTACAGGAATAGGGAGAAGAAATTAGCTTAGGATGTGTATTGACACCAAAGCCTCCCGTAGAGTTTGAAGGATGTTTTGCAAAGATTTCTTCCCCACTTCAAGGGGCATTCTATAGTGTGAGAGAGAGATTATCCAGCCATAAGAGAACTGCTGGTGGGGATGGGGTTTAAAGATGTGATGCAAAGGAAGACTTAAAATCATGTTGGGCATACACTTTCTGAAGGTTGGCTAGAAAAGCACCTGACAATCCAGTGGGTTCTCAGCAGAAGCAGTCTGCCTTACGCCTCTTCTAGGATAGGCTTTTGGTTTCTTTCTTCCTGAATAGCAAGATCCATTAAAAAAATCACTGAATGAAGATCTTCTATGACAGAAGTTTTACATTGCAAATTACTCAGCGAGGTATAAAAGAGAAACCTCAGCTGCTCAAAATCGTATCTTAAATTTGGTTTATTTGGTTTGGTTTATTTTCAGCCTTGTGACTCAATGGAGTAAATGCTCTATGTGAAATCAAAAGTAAAATCTGGTCAGGTTTAAAATCGGATTCAGGGATTTCAGCTCCTGAACTAACTTTTTACTTTGCCTCAGAATACCGCATTATTATGTGTGTGTCAGAGTGAGCCCAGTGTGCCAAAGAAAAAACGCATGGAGAACTGGGAAGAGGAAGTAGGCTACACGTTATAAATATAAAAGCAGTACAGGATATTGAGACAGTGGAATTAATAACTAAATATAAAAATTTGCATCCTAAAATGCTAGATTTTCTGTTTCTACCTGTCTACATTTTCAGTCTGTGACAGACTGTAGATTCTGTTATACCTGGAGACCTTGAGGAGGGTATTTGGAGGATTTTATGAGCATTTTTATGCAGAAAATCATTCCAGGTATATACTGAATCTTCTGTTTCTGAGTAAGGAACGCTGGAGCAAGTACATGACGGACAATCAGGTTCAGACATTACTGAAGTCTTCAGGTTGCCTTTACTCTGATCATTTTAGGCTTCCATGAACTGCAGGGCCTGTACCCATGGAACTAACCACTGAAGCTCTTCTGTGGTGTTCTGTCAGCAAAGCTGGTCCTTGTACTGAAAGTGATTGTGCAAATGTGGTACCTTGCAGAAGTGCATGGAGATGATGTTGACGTCAGTTTTGTCGTTTTATGCCTTTTATTTTTTTTTTTCTTTTAAGCAATACATTGAGAATAATAATGAGGAAGTGCTCATCTAACTCATTCACAAGGTTCTACCTGCCATCCCTTACGCTCAATGAGTATGTGAGGGCACTGTTAGGCGTATGTGCATGTAAATTACCTCTAACTGCACATCTCTATTATAGGCAATTACACTAATGTGCTGGAATGATACATTTAGTGTCTCAGAAGATAGAAACTGGGTGGAGGGCAGACTGATTTGAGGATCAATCTGGATGAAACAAAGAATGGTATTTATTTGGCAGGTCGCTGGGGAGAGCTGGCTAAAACTGCAGAATGAGATAATATTAGCCATTTGATAAGTGAGGTTTGCTATTATTTGGTAGTCTTATTTGCTTTTTTTTAAATAATAATAATGCTTGTGTGTTTCTAGGCTAAGATTGGGAACTCCTGCTGTCTCTGTATAATTTGTCATTATGAGTTGGCAACCAAGGAATGTGCTGAATAGTTAGAGTGTATGCCTCAATTCTGCTGTCAGAATTTGGGTTCGCTTGCTCATATGTACAAGAAAGACCTCAAAATGGCTACCTGTGAGCAAGAAAAGGTGATGTCAGTATTGTCTATGTGGTTTCCAGCAAAACTGCGAAGTGTCTGGTTTTGGATGCGAGGAATTCATTGCACTTGCATCTCTGTGTATTCACCTCTGTGAATTTAAACTCCTGAAGTACTTCTTGAGAGACAATTTTAGTTGGCTACCAAAAAAAAAAAAAAAAAAAGGCTGAATCATAGCAGAAAAACTTTTTGGTTTGTTGGATGTTTGTTCCATCCTGGCTGGCTTTGAGTGTTGAGCTAAATTCTGAGAGTTTTCATGCTTGAGGCTCAAATGCTTTAATTGGAAGTTATGGGAATAAAGTTCTCTCTACTACAACTGCCGTCAACACAGAGCCTTGAGATGTGGAGAGAAAAAATTCTTGATTAGAAGCACCAACAGCCCCCTTGACTACCTCCTTCCAGGGTATCGCCATGACTATGATTGCTGCTGCTGCTTGTTTGTGTTGTAGACTCACCCTTACCGTAAGAGTATTTGGGAAGAGACAGAGAAAAATTGTATGAAGTTACCTATGAACAAGCAAGTGACATGTGTGGTTGTATCACTAGCTAATGCTGATAGTATCGCATGAGTGTTCTAGTTTTGTAATTGTGGATTTAGATGTTGTAAGTCTTGCAGCAAGATTGGGACAGAGGATTTTCACATTACTGGTTTCTATTTCAAATACACAGACTTGAGATGGCAGTGACATATTAGAGATTATTATCTGATAATACAACATATCTCGATCAGATCAACTTATGCAGGTAATTTGTTCTACTGGAACCAGAGAGAATGTAAATACAGAAAACAGGCTCATGAAAATGCATAGTGAAATGAAAGAAAATTGGAAAAAGTAAGCAATCCAGTTGTCTTCTATCTCTGTTACGATAAAGCATTAGTGCTAGTTTCCATGGCAGCTTAAAGAAATCCTGCACACTACAACTTAACACAGGACGCCCTGCAAATGTTGTAGTGGTCAGAAGTGATGGTCGCCCTTCTGAGAATAAAAGTGCTTGATAATGCTGGCTGTGTGATGGTGACAGAGTGAGCACACTTCAGAGTGGCACTGGTGACTGTGATGTGAAAGGGGCATGGGGCACAAGACGCAAGATCAAATGGCAGAACAAATCTATGTGTATTTGTGGGATGCAGGGAGAAGAGGAAAGGGTGGATGGAGGGGAAAGAAAGATAACACTGCTCCCTGTATGGATAAAAGGCAAAAAGTCTTTACGTGCTTTCTGAAGAACTTCCATTTTACTCCAAGGACCTGCTCTTTATGGGGATTTGCTTTGCCTCCTACAGGCTGCTTTAAAGAGTTTTCACATTTTATTTTTGGCTGCACCATGAGAGGATTATTTCTTGATGTTTAATAAATGCAGAGGAGAGATCCAAAGGGCTACGCACGCGCACACACACACACACATATGCGTGCAACGTAGATGTCCAGCAGATAAGTGCAGCATTTTGTTTACAAGGAGATATTACACTGGAAATCCTATTAGCAATCAGACAGTCTGCTGGCTGGATTTAATAAACTTCAACCAAAGGAGTTATTCAAGATGGCATATTAACCCCCTAAGGGCTTGGTTTTACACTGTAGATGCAACCAAAACTTCCACCTACACCACATAGCCTGGAGGTAGATATGTTATATGCAGAAGCAGGGTTTTTCCAGCCCAACTGTTTAAAACCAAAATAGAAATTCACGGTGCCTCCAGGTAAGGCCCTTTTATTGCACTTACATCTGCAACGCAGGGATTCTATTTTAAATTATGCCTTGTTGTCACAAAATCTCACCCCAGCCCCAGATCTTAGTGCCTACATCTTGTCACTGGGAAGGACAGAGGGACATATATGTTTTCAGGGGACCGATTTGGAAAGGGAATGTAGGCAGACAGACTCCAACCCCTCATCATCCGCTCGTGTAAGACTTGCTGCACCATCATAGCTTAAAGACAACAAGCAGATGGAGAGAAGTAGGATGCAACATACACAAATTAAAAAGTCACAGATGTGGTAGGCACATATTCTATTAGATCTGTCTAGAGTTGCTTGAAAAATGCTGGGGATAAAAATTCAAATGTTAGCAGAAAAAAAAAACCAGTGCTGCAATATGTAATATTTTAAACATCATCCTCGCTTAATTCTTCTCAAGACTGGGGATATACGCAGGTGAAACAGAGAGGCTGGGGTTGGAAAACGCTGTGATGAGGACTACAAAGTTGAATGTACAGATCTGTAACATATAAAAGTTGTTTTTTATTTTAAGTGCCTGAGAGCTTGTGTCCTGAAACCTGTTGAGTGTTTGTTCTCTTACGTACTGTCTGCAAAGATCCTGCAATCTGTAATCAACTTGGAGATTTAAAACTTCAGTATTTTCAGTGAGTTGTTAGGTTAATTGAAAATATAGACTCTGGTCCTTAACAAGATTCTGATCTGAATTTTGTTCTGGGCAAGTGCCTCATTATCACAGGATTAGAAAATACTAGAATGATGCAATACTTTATTTCTTTTTTACTTCTCCTTTTTTAATTCTTTTTTTCTAGCCTGTATCTATCATGCATTTTGAGCTATTATCAGCGCTTGCACTCACAGTTTATGACTCCCAGTGTATTTAAAGTCAGTCCTCTCCCCGTCTGCATTTCTAACTGTATATCTTTTCCTGAAGATGAATCATTTAGCACCATCACTCTGATTTTCATTCTCTTTTACTCTCTGTGAACTGAGTTGGTTTGACAAATTCTGATGCTGCCTGAAAATATCTGGCTTCGTTTTATAATATTATTTATTTTTATAGCCAAAAGCCTAGCAGGTGAAGAAAAAAAATGACGACAATTTGGTAAATAATGAACACAGGGATGACATATTGTTTTTCTGCAATGAGGAATAAATGCACTTTATTAAGTGACCTTTCCTCCAGTGGCTGCCAAGAAATTGGAGATAATAAAGCTTTTACTTGCAGAGGAATTTAGTTGAGAGGAGGTATAGCTTAAAAGAAAGGTCCATTGCTTTATTAAAACCTTGTTGCAGTGACATCAGTATGAGACAAAGTGTATTATTGAGACTATTTGTATTGCAGTTTGGTCTTTCTTTAAATTTCTTTATTTTTGTATTTTGTAAATCCTCTGTTTTAATTACTGTTGCAAATGAAAGTTTAATTCCCCACCCTGATACTTTTCTAATTCGGAAATGCTTATCCTGTGTCTTGCTTTCCTCTTCCTTTTCTTTTCAGGAGATGCAGCTTGATGTGAACTGCCCTGGGCTGGTGCGTGCGTGTGAGTGCCAGCTGCTCATGTTTAGCATCGAATCCTTGTGCGATCACAAGCAACTTAATCAGCTTTGCATCTAAAGGGGTTACCATCACTGATGACCGACAGACATCTTTCCACTGGTTTCAGTGTATTAAAAGTCCAATTGAAAGTGGCAGGATGGCTGGGAGAGGATGAGGTGATTCTCTATGTATGAAGATGAGTGCAGTGATGAATCTTTGGTGTGGGAGACCTCTAGGAAAGAGTCATCCCTCTTGTAGGCTGTGCCCAGAGTGATTGCACAACTAAGGCACTTCTATTGTCACTCTATGTTTGTATGGTTTAAAGCTTTTATATGGCAGGTGGGAGCTTCATTTCTAGGAGAAGGTTTCTTTGGATATAGTTGTATTATCTTGCATGAGAGGACACTCGATGGGTGAAATTCCCTTCATGCACTTTGTTTCTTTCCACAATTAAGAATATCTTCTGGTGGTATCTTCTACTCATGGAACTTGCACTCAGGGCCCAGAGATGTGAGTCAGCGGGAGCGAAACACCTCTTCTCACAGGGTGAAACGTGTTCCTTAACCTCGTGGTAGGGATGGACTAGCTTACATGCCAGGCTAATCATCCAATGGCCAATTCCTGGGGGAAGATAAAGCCAAAGCAGATCTAGCTGATGAGATCTATGGCCTTGCTGACATGAAAGAGAATAGATTAGGGACAAACTGTGCCTTAGAAAATCTTGTTTGGACCCAGATACTAACTGCAGGTATATGTATGTATTGTAAAGGATGTCAGATCTCACCTTAAATATGTATGAATGAAAATGAGGTTGGCTACTGGTGAGGGAGACTGGTAAAGGAATCAGAATGTGAGCCCTCAAACCCATTTTGAAGATTTCCACCACCCCCTACCTTCACCCAAGTTACTAAAAGCATCAAGGTAGAGAAAAAGAATCAGAGATATAAAATGCAAGTCGCACTTTTTAATAGATTTTTCTTGCTTTTCCCCAAAGGGTTCAGCTGCAGAGAAAGAGTGGAACATAATAATCCTTAGCATTTATATAGCACTTTACATTTCCAAAGCTCTGTACAAACATTAACTGATCAATCTTCACAACACCCCTGTGAGTTAAGGATGTATGATTAACCCCGTTTTACACTGGGGGAAGCCATAACATTTCAGAGCCTGACTTCCCCATCCCTCCCGAGGTGTGTGGCTCTTGCCAATCCTGCTAGTTTAAACAGGAGCTGTGCCTGATGCTTCTGAACACTGGGTGCTTCGCAACAGCCTCAGGGCTACATTGCCAGCCTGTGGCTGATGATCCAAAGGATCCGTCTTCCCTTCCCTGCTGTCTCCTGCTGATGCTTTTGCACACCTTTATCTTTCAGCCTCCTTGCTGGAGTGGTACTAGTGACTGGAATTTCAAGAGGCAAAACCATACCTGGTTGACATACCTATTTGAATATTGTAAAATCGTCTTTATTTGGAACCCCTAGGGAAAAGCCTATTACCCCAGTGTCTTTTCCTTTTTCTTCCTTTTATTTTTCTCTTTTTCCAAAACCTGGAGTGATTTAAAATGAAATGTAATCCTATATTGAGTGAAAGCACACAAACACAATGATATGTCTGCTACTCAATGCCTTTCTTCCCTTTTTCAATCTTGATAATTTTCTGTGTTTTAGGGAAAATGGCAAGTAGAGTAGGGGATTAATGCAAAAAATGCTTTTTTTTCCCCTAGCATAGAACAAAATAGATGTCTTCAACATGAAATCTTGGTGTAAATCGTTGAATTGTATTAGCCTTTTAATGCTTCCTTAGTTTACGTTCTCCGAACATGGGATACTTCTTACAGCCAAGCTCTGCTTTTGCAGGAAATGGAACTGTGAGGCAATGCTGTCATTTTGCTTGGCTCCTCGTTTTGCTCCTAGGCTTTGGTCACCCGCGCCACAGGTGCATCCACATTAAATCATGCTGGCTTTCCTTTAGGAAAAAGAAAACACACCCAAGTGTGGCCAGAAGAGATTTTTTCCGATGTCATGTCGTACAGTCAGGGATGGCTCCATGTAACGTGCAGCTGGATCACCAGGATGGGAGCAGACATTAACAGAGGACCTCAGCTTTACTGAACTCTGTACTGCAGAGCTTTGAGAAGAAACTTACTGCCACTTGGTCTTCATCATCAATGTTCACCCCTTTAGGCATCCTAATTAGCTTGAAGAATATTGAATCTAGTCAGGGTTTCTTGCTCTCCTCTATCTTAATTAGGTGTTAAGGAGGTAGAAAGAGGGTTCGAAATAAGATTGATGGAGAAAAGAGATGGATGACCAGTTCCCTCAACATGTATATGTTTGTTTGTTGGTAAATCAAGTTTAAGAATTTTCTCAAAGGTCATCGCTTTGAGTATTTTCCATGTATATTCATTATTTACTTACCTGGATACTACAGTAATAGGAAGCTCTGGATTCATACTCTATTTCTGGATGAAAACTGCTACTTCTTTGCTGGAATATGACCTGTGGCCTATTTCTTTTCATGTGTATTATTGAATTTTCTGATTTGGGAGCTGTGCAAAACAGCTTTTCATTCTGAATGCTAATCAAAAGGCTGCGTTAATTAAATATACTTCTAATGAAACTAGTTTGAAATGAGACATGAGGAGCTAGAGTCTGCCCCTTCTTAAGATAATGAAAGAGATTGAAAGGATTAAAATTTCTTTGGTGGGGAAGCTGGTGGCTGATTTAGGGATGAGCATTATTATCATGAAAGCTTATAAAATAAGATCATCTTCTGATATCCGTGGTACCTGAAGTCAGCAGAGTCCCTCCAGATTTGCAGTGGTGGAAGAGAGGCTCTGCATTTGGGCCCCGACTACTTAAAAATATGTAGTTGCCCTTTAAGATGTAAATCTATTGAAATCCAACCTTAGACATTGCCGGGGTCACTCTGCTTATTACTTTATGACATTTCCAGATTAAAGGTGCAGTGGGGGCTCACATTAATTTGCTTTATGTTTGACTAGAAATGCTTCCCATCACTATTAGAGCACACTTGGAGCTCTCTTCATTTTAGAACGCTTGTCAGTCATTTGAGAATGATATGCCCTACGTCTGGGATGAATAAGCACATCATATATTAGGCAGAGGCTTTTTCTCTGGAGAAGCTCAAAAGAACTGACAACTACTTCCAAGAAGGTGAATAACATACACAAGGCCCAGCGGCTGAATGAGGGAAGAGTGAAGAAATATTCTGCTAAAACATAATCTGCTGTGTTGATTGAAAGTATCCAGGCAGTTTTCTCATGACAGCAGTTTTTAAAGACTCAGTTCTATGGGAATGGAGAAGAAATGGGGACCAGCGCTTCCACATACACCTCTAGTCTGTGGTGGGTAACAAAGAGATCTTCCATAGAGAGCCTGTAGATGTCTGTGCAGTCCACAGTGTTTCGGACTACGGATCACCCTGTAGATTTAAAGGAGAGGGAAAAGCCTATTCCAGACAGAGAACATTGTTTATTTTGTATTTCACTTTTTTTTTTTTTTTTTTTTAAATAATAAGTTCTATAATTTGTTTCAATAATTTCCATCTTGAAATCTTTTCTAGTTTTGATATCTATTTAGCAGCTGCATGCATGTTAGGCCTTTATGGGAAAAAAAAAATTAGATCTGAGGGTGAGAATGACAAAGTACCCAGTATTAACACTCATTGGGTGTTAATTTCTGGGTAGTATTAAAGGACACCTACCATGGGAAGTATTTTTACCTTGTTTATCAAGAGGAAAATGCTGTCTGTGGTTTTGCTGATGCTGCTCTACTGAGGCAGGACTTCTGCTGAACGTCGCAGCAAAAATCCCTTTATGGTTCTTCAACCAAGTGACCTCCCAGGGAAGATGTCTGGGTCATAACTCCCACAAAAACTGTATGTGGGGGAAAGCAAAAGGAAACACATCTCAGTATTTTTCTTTTAAAACTTTGGCGCTGTTTGAACATGAAACTTGGAGTCAGTTGCTGAAACACCTTCCTCTAGAAACACAGGTCGTGATTCTGAGGGAGATGAGTGAAGTCCTCATACCTCAAAGCCACAGAATTGTAAGTACTGCCAAAACAGGATGGGCCTGAGCCTTTACTTATACATAGAGCGAGTAGAATTGCCTGTGGATTTGACATTCATTTGACATAGCTTGTGCTTTTACATGTCTGGCTTTCCTCGCCAAGGTTTCATAGGATTGTGCACTTCAGTCCAAACTGCTGAATTTCGTGCAGTTTAATTATACCTCACTTTTAGTTATACCTTTTTATGTTTTCATATAGCAATCATTTTTTTTATTTAAACATCCATTAGGCCATGTATTTATTTTTCTATAATCAGCATTTATCCTCTGAATACGTTCTCTGAGGGATGTAATGACAACATAGATAAAGTATCATCAAAAATATGACACTCCTGTGGAGGGAAATTAGAACCATAATGAACAACACAGAGGCTCTCAATTTTTATGCACAATTAATATGGCTCCTTGCAAAGTATGTCATAAGGACTCTGAGTTTTCAGCAGGTCTGTGTGTCTGTCTTAATGGCTGTGAGCAATTCACCTATTCCTGTTAAGCACCTCTCCAAAAGAAATAGAAACCCTCTGCAGCTGCAGATCCGCGTTCTCCCAACAGCTTCAGCCACCCTCACTGCTATAATTCTCTGGAGAATCTGTCTCTATTTTCTGCTCTACATGATATCCTAAAACATTTTACAGGGCAATATAAGCTGGTAAATACTCACATTTTCACAAAATGTGTGTAAGAACTGCAGCAACCAAGTGACTTGTGCATACCTACTTTTAGCTCTTAAGTGCTCCATCCTCCCTCACTCCTCCTTCAGCTTAATGTCCTAACCTCAGTGATCCGCAGAATAATATAGCTTAATATATGGCTGAATCCATTCCTGAGATTTTATCTTTCCTTATATTAACTTATCCATAGATGATCTTGCAGTGATGGCATATGTTGGAGACAGTCATTTTTAAAGCCATCTGCAGCTGGTTCTTGTGTGAATGCTGCACCCAGCAACTCATGATTCCTCTTCACTACTAATTATTTCCTATGGCTTTTAATACTGCTCTGAGTCTTAGAATAGCTCTGAATGATGATAGACATATATTATTATTACAGGTTGTATTAAGCAGCCGTAGCTCAAGTTCTAATTACATTACCCTTCAGCCACGGCAGCAGTAACACTTGGTTTGGTTCTTGAGTTTCTAGGAATAATCTCACCAGTACTTCTTAGTTAGACTGCAAGGTCAGGGAGAAAGGAAATTCTGCCCTTCTTTTCACGTAGGATCTGAGAGGATATGTTGTAAAAAGGGACAAAACTGGTCACAAAAAGAGAGGATTAAAATGAGAGGCTCCATGCGATGCATACTAACTCCCTACATCCTCACAGGGATAGGAGCTGCAGTGTGATTCTACTCCACAAAGGCATCCCATGAGAAGTGAGCTGTGGGGAAATGAACCTGGTCTAATAGCAAGTGGGTGCATTTTTGGCTGCTTGAATTCTGGGGCTGATCCACAGAGCTTCAGGGAAGATATGACTGAAAATTTCTAAATCCATCCAGCAGAAACCAGCCACATAAACCCCCTCTTGTTCACTGCAAGAGGAAAATAATGTGACATCTCCAAGTCTATTGATTTATTTCCATAAAACTATGATTTTTACTTGATTGCATGAAGTCCAATATAGTGGGATCACTGTCGTGTATTCAAGTAATTATGTCTTTTTTTTTTTTTTTTTTTTTGGACTGGCAAAAGATCCCCGTGATCCCCATGATCAGCAAAGAAAGGATGGGATATTTGAACTTGGGCACTCAAAACACATCAAAGCCAGGAGTCAGCTAAAATTATTTGCATTTTGTTATTGTTAGTCAGTGGGTGGCCAGGCTCATCATATTTAAAGGGCTGTTAATAACAATTTTGATTTGGGCCTGTAAAATATTTATTGCTGTTTGGTGGTTGTTTATAAATCTTAAGAGAGATATTTTTATGATTTAAAAATGAAATAGATATATGACAGACATTTCTCAAAAATGTTTTTTATAATTCCTGTGGTATTGGAATGACATGTGCAAACCATAAGGATATGATTTGATTATTTTATGTTTGGTTATCCAAATTCTAAAGCAAATAAACAGCATAAATAACAAAGAGACCATTTCTTTGTTCACAAATTCCTTTATCTGATAATCTCAGGCAGTATAAATAACTAAGGAAAGGTTTTATTATGTAATACTGCACAGCAATATAGCATTGCAGGTTCTTTGGGACAGTGAGTCTCTTTCTACAGTCCCCAGAACATTTTGGCTACTACTATAAACTTATTACAATCCGTTTCTCCACTATAGGGTTTTCTTACAGTACCTATAAAGGCCAAGCACCTGATAGTAGAATATCTCATTTATATAGCAATTTCCATTCCTCAGTGGTATGAATTTGTACGTATGTATCTGAGTGTGCACCAGATGGTTTACATTTGTTATGTATGCTGCTGTGAAAATCAATATGCATGTTTATTAGCAATTTATGATTTTCCATAAAAATATTAAAAAATGAATAATAATCACTTTTAGGGATAAAAAAAAAAACAAAAAACAAAAAACCAAAACAGGTCTAGTTTATCAGCTTGAAAATGAATGAAAAGTACTTTCTTACTGTGTTAATTAATTGCAGTTGACAAAAAGTAGGAGCCTTCACTCCTCCTTCCATGTTGCTAATTCCATCCCTCTCTCTCACTCTCTCCCCTCAATTAAATGTATGAGAGTGTCCCCTCCCCTTTTAGAAAGAAGCTTTTAGATTAATCATATTATCTTAAGGTTCCAAATCTCAATGCCTGCGTGACCTTTCTTCCGTTAGAATCCATTATCTTAAACTATCACAATAATCCTGGCTTTAGGGAGGGAGAGCGGGAAGCAAGAATCAAACCTAATAGATGGCAAATAAGATTAATCTATGATCTAAGTGCCGATTACACTTGGCCCTGCCCTTGAACACCCAGGTGTAACCTTGAAATTCACATCCGCTAAGACACTGCAATTGGATTGTGTGTCCCTGAAGGCCTGGAAGGGGCAGCTGGCCAAACTTTACCCATTATTCCCCAGTGAGCCATGAGCTGTCTCAGCCTGCAGCTCTCTTACTTGTGGAATTTGGCAGCGGCACAGCTGAATGTTTGTTTTGGGATGTTTAGCATTTTTTCAGATAAAATAGTTATTTTCAGGTCCTTAATTTTTGTTTGTCAGAAGCAAGCAGCCAGGGAATGGGTGAACTTTTACCTGGACCTCACAAGAGGAGAAAGCTCTCTTTTCAAAATCTGATAAGTCTGCAGAAGAAAACAGAGATATTTTCTTTCTTTATAGGTTGACCTATGGACTCTGCCAAAAAAAATCTTCCATGTGAACTTGAGTTTGCAAGGCCCTTTTTTCTTTCCCAAAAACTCCGCATTCTGAAAAAGGACATCTGTGACAAGATGGAACTTGGCACCAGTAACTTATGTACTATGGGTGAAGCATGCTCAGAAGAGGCAGACCCAGAAGTAATTTTTCATCAAATAACTTTTTAAAGCCATTATTAAAACTAGCATACATTTCCTCTGCTGCTGGCAGCTTCAATGGACAGGACAGGATTGATTTGGGTATGGCAGCAGAACTTTTTTCCTTATTTATATGTAAGGCCAGATTCTCAGCTGGGATGAAACAGTGCTAACTTGCTGGCTTTGCATTTATCCTGCCTGAGAGACGTCAGCTGGGGAGGTGGCAGTGATGATCAGCTGAAGCCATTTACCCTCCATCAGCTCCATGTGGAGGCAACATCTAAACCCTACGAGGAAGGGCCATATTTTTCTTTGTACCTCTCCTCGCACAGCAATACCCAGTGTGACAACAATTCAGGAGATAAAGAATTAGAAGGAAAACACAATGTAGGAAATGTCAACGTGAAGCACATCTGGTGGCTGGCTAACTTTACAACAGTCCTTTGGTAATCTCAAAATTATAGGGATATGGAAGAAGAAAAAGAAAGATAGAGGAAAAATCATACATATAACAGCTACTGCAGTGGTAGCCTGGCAGTATTGGAAGTTGTCTGGGAGGTAAAGCTTTACAGCTTCCAGTGGTGAATCCATCAGAGGACCAAGAGAGCCCCGACCTGCCAGGATACTAGGAGTGATGCTGGGAGATGTATGAAAGATGCAGTTCCCTTCATGCACAGAGAACTGTTGCTTTGCTGCTCCTTCACTTTCTTTGCCAGCTTATGAACGTTGGCTCTCATTGATGTTTTAAAAGCTTCCATTGCTGTGGCGACAATCTGTAAACAGCATGGTACAGTTTGTCACTATTTTCCTTGCCCAGAAGCTGGTCTAATAGGACTTTTGTGTGCTATGTGGGTATGTAAATAAAAGAGGAGATACCTGACCCAACTTTTATTTAATTTAAAAAGAAATCAATGAAAAAGGGGAAAAAAAAAGTTACAAAATGGACTGGCCAAGTGGACTTTGATCAAAAATTAAATCTGCTCTCACTAGTATTGATTAGTAACATAACTTCTCTCTCAATTCTCTTTGTGAGTACGTGAAAATCTACTGGTGCTAAAGGTGCCTGAACTTGTACTGTTGTGAAATGTTGCAATCGTGGGCTACCAGGCTAAATAATCAAAACAAGTATAAATCTGGTATAAGATCTCTATTAATTCTACAAAAAGGCTTCATAAAGTATTTGAATTTTATGGATATGTCTCTTAAGAGTCCTATAGGCTAAGCACCCAGCCACAAACTGAGCTTTCCTGAAATTGGAGTAACTGAAGAGCTGGATACCGTCCCATTCTGAGCAGTTGATCCGGTCTGCAGGCAGCTATGAACCAGTAGCTGGGACACTCTGAAATATGGAGTGTAAAGCAAAACTTGTAGACAAGAATGAGGATGATGATGGGCTGCCAGGAGGATGCCCAGGATGTGTGGTGATACCTAGAAACAACCAGAATACACCAACGCTGTGTCTTCTGTCCAGAGAGGGTTAACTTGCACTTGCAGCAGGCAGCGTCATGCCATTAAGTCAGGGAGAGTAATGAAATTTCATTTAATTTGTCAGGAAGAAAGTGCTAATGTTAAAAGGCATTTAATAAAAAGGGGGAGATTCTTTGAAAGGAAGCCTTTAAGTAATTACTTCAAGTGTCTTAGGCCTACTCACCAGAATATTTACATTAGTGTCTCCCAGCGCCAAAGTGTAATTAAATTAGTGCAGCATTTACATTCCGTCCTGGTTTTTTAGAAGTGTGATTTTATTAACAATTCTCCAAAAAAAAAAAAAAAAAAAAAAAAAAAGGAAAGCCAGTCTTGATTTAATCAAATCAGGTGTTAGTATTTTTGGTAATTTTTTCACTGAGAAAACTGTCTTGGAGAAGGTGGAGCAAAGGAAAGAAAACTTGATGTAAGTTTTGAGTTCTACTTGGAGAAATGCCGTTTCTTTTCTCTGCCCTGGGACTGAAGTGGAAAACTCTGTCCAACACTGTACAGACTACAAGAGTCACTTGGTGGAGTTTTGAGTGTAAATCTGTTTTTTTTTTTGTTTGTTTGTTTGTTTTTTGTTTTTTGTTTTCTTTTTTGTTTTTTTTTGACAAAATGCCGAGGTGCATGTGTGAGAAGGACAGACGAAGATAGAGTACCGAAGATGGCATCAGAATGAAGAAATAAGACATAGCCTGGGGGTTGCTCATCTCATGGTGATGAACCAGACTTAACATCAGGACATAAGAAACTGTAGAATACTGGAAAATCTGCTTTGCATTTTTAACTGCTAAAAATTATTTTTTTTGGGGAAAATGTATATGTAAGACCCTTCCAGAATAGGACAACTTTTCCACCCTGGAGTAAATGGAATATGTTCTATTTTCCTTAGCTTCATCAGAAACATGGCATCTTAAAAGTCAATTAAAAAACAAAAGAGAGAGAGAGAGAAAGAGATAAAGAATAGATTAGTTCATTACACACAGCCACTACCGGAAGACACTGGAAATGCATAGCCAAAAAAGAAAAAAAAACAGTGGAACATTCAAAAAATTACCTCTGAATTTATTTGACCACTGCACATCTCTTTGCTCAAAAGCATAGCTCTGTGCTTCCATCACAAAGTAACTGATGTCTTCTAGTTGTTAAATTCAGCTGGGACACACATTCACGTCCCTGAAAGAAATTAAGCAAAACAGAGATTTAAAGACACCTTCATTTTTCTTCATTATCTAGAGATAAATTGGTTGATTTAGTTTTATTTTATGTGGAAGTTCATTGATTAGAAATGTATTTTGAATTATGATGAATAAAAGTAAACTAAGAAACATTTTCCAGAGTTGCATCAGAACAGTACCTATAGCTATATAAAACCTAAAGCCATTGTAACTGCTGCACAACTTCCACCTCAGACATGGGGTTCAGGTCTCATCTGTGTCTATTTATCAGCCAGGGTCTCTGGCAAATTATATGCAAGTATCTAGCAAAGTAAATTCTTGTTTCCTTTGTTTGTTTTCAGGTAGTCCTGCATCTTGTAAATGGCTCTGGGTGAATCCGGAGAATTGCATGTGATTTGTCAGGTAAAATATTATTTTAAAAATAATTTGACTGAATGTTCACCAATTCAGAGAGTTTAAGGGTCCTTCATTAGCCCTTGATTTTCACCACATTTGGTTTGTCTGTAAGTGACTCAGAGAGACGTTCTAGCAAGAGTGAAACTTACCAAACTGAAAAATTAACATGCACAGAAATTAAAAGCTCTCTCCACCCTGCAGACTTTGTGGCTGGGAAAAATCATTTGCTTTTGCTGCTACTTCTTTGAGCAACTGCAGTGGGGGTGGCCAAGTTTTGGTGCTAAATCAAAGGATTTTGCAGGATAACAATAGCTGAGCTATTGGTAGGGGAAGAGCATGCATTTGTGACTCCATCCTAGATACAATGGTTTCCTCTTCCTGTGGTACAGTGGATTCAAAGGGAATCTAAAAACTCAAAGATCCTAGAAAAATATTTCAGCTGGGGGGAAACTGTCCAGTGTGTCACTGAAATGGTGACAAGCTGACACTCTCAGAAGGAAAAGACAAAAGAAAAAAACCAGAAAACAACCAGCCAAAAACATAAAGCAATGCATTCTGCTTCTTCCTGCCAGGGTTGTGATGTTATTTACAACTTTGTTAGTTCTCTTGTATGTGTTTGGTTCAAAGTGGCTTTTTTAATTTTTCCGGTGCTCCAGAGTCTTCACAACCTTTGAAGGGTGACTGACTAAGAGCTGTGGTTTGAGATTGCTGCTTGAGTCATAGCGAACACATTTTAAAGAGATCCTGGCAGGGACACAGGCTGGTCAAGATAGCCTGGATGATACTGAAGTGGTTGGAAGTGGATCTGGATGGATTGAACTCATGGCTCACTCAGAATCAAAATCATAAAAGCATGGCATGGTTTCAGTTGGAAAGGACCCTTAAAGGCCATCTAGTCCAACTCATCTGCAATGAACAGGGACATCTACAGCTTGATCAGAGTGCTCAGAGGAGGGAAAGGACAATAAAAGTATTTGTACACAAAAATACTCTGAGCCACAGAGGTAAGTGAGCTCTCAACATTCTTCACGTCCCATTGGGAGTTTTCAGTTCAGTCTGTGGGCAATCATAGATGCCCACTAAACCACATCTTCATTGTCGTTACCTTAAAGGATACCCATCCTATCCTCACCTCTCACAACTAATTTCTATATCATTTCATGTGTTTGAATTTATTCTATTCTTGATGCCTGTGGTATTGGATTATTGATTGCAGAGGTTTATCTGTGAACAAAAAACATGTGGTGATGTATGCTAGGATTGGCACCATCTAACTATGGCATGTCTGCACTGTTCCTCCAAAGAAAACCTACCAACCATTTCAGAGGCAGAGATTACTGAATTCTGTGTCTATTTGTATGTGGTTCAAAATAAGCCCCTGGTGTTTGAGGAAGGTAAAACACATTTCATGCTGCAGCCCTTTTGATTGCACATCTGTGAGAGAAATGGTGCTTTGAGGCTGCAGCCCAAGGCCGTGCAGGCCTTCGTGCTGAGCAGCACGATGTTCCTGATTAGGGCAGGAATAAATCCATCCTGAGTGCAAAAGAATTACATGATCTGGAGAAAATGGAACTTTCTGAACGTTGAGAACTTCTGAAATGCTGTACTTTTCCTATAGATGCCTAAGCAGGAGCTAATCTCTTTCAGAGATCTGGTCTTCTCTCTTAAAAACACATTTTTTTATGGTAGAACAGCTGTTGTTGCTTCTGTTGTGATGATCTGGGTGAAAAGTTTGGTAACAGAGAGAGAAGCTTAAAAAAAAAAAAAAGCAGAAGGCAAAAAAACTCAGAAAAAATGCCTCCCCAAACCCACCCACTGAAAAAAAACCTTCTGCTCTGGCATTCCAGAGACATACAGCTTCTAGTGTTTTTTAATGCAATTAAAACAAATGCTGACGTTATTTATAACTAAATTACTGGCAGGAAAAACAACTAATGACCAAAACCCACATTTGTACAATTAAAAAAAAAAAAGAGTAAGAATATCCTAAAGGGAATGATTTGTAAGGATGTGGTTAAACCTATTTATACCCTGGGTTCTATTTGTTTTACAGCCAGCGGTGCACGAACAACATGAAAGGTTATCTTTGACAAGGTTTTAGCTATTATTTTCTTCCAGTGAAATGGTATTTCTTGAGAAAAAAAGGTCTTCAGAACAAAATAACAATAAATCCTGATTTAGATACATAAAGCTGCCATCGATATCACATAATATCAGTGTTCTTTCTCACTCGATACAGGCGTTTTTAAGATAAATGGTAAAACTGAACTGGAAATCCATCTGGCCAGCTGCCTGATCTAATGAATAACCCCACTTTGGCTCCTGCAATGTAAGCAGAAAGAGTTCTCTCCCGGCCGCTTTCGTCTGTCATGAATCTACAAGACAGCCGACATAATATCTGGGCGACAACAGCGTGCTAACAGTGCAGTGACTTCCATTTTCTTTGCTTTCTATTGATTTTCACTTAATAACTGGCGAAATACTAAACGTCCGCCCTGAGTACCTAATAAATCCTGCCTGAGCTTTTTATTGAGGAGAATTTAATAAAAACAACCATTGTGGCTGAGGGATTTTTCTTCTGGACAGAACACGGTGAGGGGTGGGTAGTGTGTGTGAGTAAGGGGGGAGAGACATTTGAATTTTCTAATTTTTTTTTTGCAAGCTTTTCCCCCCTCCCTTCTCGTCACTGCCCTCTTGAGGACTCAACATCATTTGTTTCAGAGAAACTTGGTTTCTTTCCTTTGCTTATGTTTTCTCATTGTCCAGAGATGGCCACAGCACATGCACGTGTAGTCACAAGACAGAGAAGAAGGGTGTTTACAGAAGGAAGACACTTCCATCACGACCATTCTACTCTCCCACATTTGCTTCTTCAATCTGATTTCAATTTTGATAATTGTTATGAAGGTTCTCTAATTGCCAAGTGCAGGGGCTGTCAGAATTCTACAGTAACACGCTTTTTATTGTCCCATTTTACAGCTGTTTTACGTTTGACACTTGACACGCAGGCGTGAAGATCCCCTGTCGTATTGGTTGGCTACTGTAACAAAATGGCATTTTTAAGTTATACGAAGTGTTAAATCTGCATCCAGTTAAAACCATAACAAAACAAAACCCGGTGGTTTCTAAGTTGACAATCCTAATTGTTAGCTTGGGAAAAAAAAAAAAAAAAGCTGGAAAAACAAAAGTAAAAGGCCCCAAACCCTCTTTCTCTAGCTGTCCACCAAGCATGCGTATGAATGTTGATATATATGTTATATGCAGTTTTCTTTTCTGAAGATGAATCAGGAGAGACCGGGATGACATTCCTAAGTACAACATATTATTTCCTTTGTATAACCTCCTGGAATGGCTCTCTTTGCCAATAAACTCAACGGAGTTCCTATTATACAAAGCTGCTCTTTTAAAGCATTTGACAGTTTTTATTTTAATTGACACAGAGGCAGTTTCAAAGTCATTGGGTTTAATGAACAATCATCTTAGCATTTGCCTGCTCAAATCCTCTTATTCCCAGCAGTTCACAGTAAAGTTTATTCTAACAGTTGAAATTAAAAAAGGAGAGAGAGGCAAGTAGAAATGTTGAGGAGCTTATATAAAAATCTGTGAATCTCAAGTTTTGTGCAGTGCTGTTATGAAAACTACTCAGCCGTGCAAAGCAATAAGAGGTTTAATTACTCATTGGTAGTCCCTCTGCTGCTCCTGATGTGGTGTGTGGTGTTGCAGAGGCCTGGGAGAGATAATTGAGGCATATGGGTGGAGTACAGCACTGATTTGGCAGCTCGTTTATTTTTTTCTTTTGTGTGTGTGTGCGCCACTGACTGTGTCACTTCTCCTATGGGATGGAAGGTGCAACAGTTCATTGTGGAAAAGTATCAGTTGATGACAGATCCTGGTTCAAGCTGTGCAAGGATCTTGTAGCTGTGGGATGGGGTTCAAGTTCCAGAGAGGATGGATGGTCTCATGAGACTTTCACGTGACTTGTGCCTGACACTGGGAGAGTATTGTGGAGGGAGTGGGGTGTCTCCTGGTGTTCTGGCAAGTCTACACTATCTTAATCTCATGGTCACAAGAAATAGCTTGAGAATGAACCAAAAAGATCAGTTTTCAGGTTTGGCTTAATCAATCCAGTTTAGACACTACTGGGCTCAATAGTCTAGAATTTATTGTCTCTTAATAGGCATAACACTAGTGACAGTTATGGTCTTACCCATCTATGAGGTATGATGGGGGTAAAGAAAATCACACAGTCATTGAACCTACCAAATCTGGGCCCAAAAGCCAACGCAGAAGGAGTTTTCAAATCCAGAAATTCTGAAGTTCATTTCTGGTTTGATAACCATTTTTATGTGAATTAGTTCATGAACCAGTTCCATGTGGCAACTCCGTGAGTATCAGAAAGTACTAAAATTTCTGCTCTGGTTTATTGCTGAATGCTAATGATATTCAGCAGCTGGAAATTAAAAGGGACACACTTGTGGGATGCGACCAAATTACCCTTCACAGCTAACCTTCAAGTGCTACCTGTCTTTAGAGATTGCAGACCTCTTTCCTAAACCAAAATCTTTTTGCAGTTTTTACCAAACGGATAAAACCAGAAAAAAGAAAAAAAAAAAAAATATCATGATCTAAATGGAGTAATAGAGTGACAGGACATATTTGCATTCTGAATAGATTAGCTGGTCTTTTAAATATTTATTTGTGTCTATTTTCAAAGTCCTTGATTCTCTGAAATTTTCCAAACACTTCTGATTTGACAGACTGGGAAATCTGTCTGCAGTTCCAATTATACTTGAAAAGATACATACAAATGATTTGACAAGTTAAAAATTAGCAGCAAGTTCTATACCTAGCTAGATTTTGTAAGCAGCAGTCATAATTCATGATACTTCATTCTAAAGTTCATGTAAATTCTGTGTGTGTGGGATCCTTTAATTGGTAAGCATAAAGGTGTATTGCTATTCACCTAATGTATTCTATTGCTCAACAAAAGGTTGTTGTAGTGAGCTCTGATTGTGACAAATGATTTACTATTAGGAACATTCTGTAATTATTGTTCGGTGGTACCACAGACCGATACATCATTAACATGATAGACGACCTTTTATATCAGCAAAAATAACTAAATTAATAAAAATGGCTTCATTCCAAACCCTGTCAGAAAGCCAATACTCGAAACAATCAAGTATCAGTGATACCTGAAAAGACCAGAGTTATATTTTTGTTAAGCAAATCTTATTGTTTGAGCAATAACATTGACATGTGCTGTAGAATGGGGGGCTGGATTTTCAGCTGCTGTGAATCAATAGTCTAATTAATTCTATTTAAGAAGAGCCACACTACTCCACATCTGTGAGGGGTATGATATGTTGGATTTTATTGTGTTGCTAAAGGGAGGTATGATGCAAATGAAGTGTCAGAAAACTTTTCAAGAATTCTGGGAACTGCTGCAAGTGCTTAGGCTTGCTGGTTCTTCAGACAGATTTTGTTCCCACTTGCATCCACGCAAATCCAGTGTGACTCTACTAAATGAAATACTTCCTCCAAATTTACACCGGTGTCATTTGAGTTTGCAGAGGCCAGACTAACTCTTAAACCATGACAATTTAGAAGAGCGCCCAAAGACTTGATTTTTTTTTTTTCTACCACAGATAAAAAAATTTAGACCGTTCTGGGCAATTCTTCTATTGTATGGTATTCCTACATTCATCCTTTCATTCCAGATGAATTCCTTCCTCTTGTCATTTCCACCAAGCCACTCACTACCAAGGTAACTCACAAAAAAATTTAAATAGGTAAACCAGACTCAGTAGGACAGCTGCTAAATGCTCAGTGTCATGTATATCTCTATTTTTTCACTCCTGGTCTTGTTTGAGTGTAAGTTTCCTTTGGCAGGGACTGTTCTGTGTATGGACGTTTCACACCTAGCTTTCTCAGTTGTCTGTGTAGACAGCACAAGGATAAATATGGCGAACAAATATTAGGTGACTGGATCACAATGTGCTGCATGAGGTTTACTTCACCATAATAAATTCTCAGGGCGTTTTTACAGTGACATGCTGAAAGAAGAGCAAAAAACCAATTAATGCTCAGGTCACTGTGTTCTAATAGGTAAGGAGCAAGTTTTTGGGACTATTCCTTCAGCAGCTGTGTTACTAACTCACTGCGTAACCTTCAGCAAATCCCTTTATTGCATCTCTGTAAAATATTGGTAATGAATTTACGTTTTGTAAAGTGCTGGTGGATCCACAGATGAAAAGCACTATATAAGCTAAGTGTTATTAATGTGATTCACTCAGTGAAATGAAATCTCTGTTGAGAAAAATACTGTTCTGTAAAATTTATATTTAAAGTCACATATTTTACAGCACGAAGAGAATTAAGGTTGTGTCACTGTTTCCAACATATAAACTATATTTAGCAATTTATTCCTTGGCTTCTCTCTAAGTAAAAGAAAACAGCTTGATGCTTAAAAATAACGTTTCGTAGGCTTGACATCCGTAATTTGGACCTGAATGTTTTTTAAACAATTATTTAAAAGAATGAAAAATCTCGTTCTGCTCATATAGAATAAATTTTAATTCTAGCAAGGGCCATATGTATGAAGATTAGCCATTTATCTTGAATAGTTATTTCAATTTCATATGAACACTGCTACAGAAAAATGTTTCTGATGTCAACCATTTCTTTATTTTCTTTTAATGCACAGCTTGCCTTTTCTGTTGCATTCTGTGAAACAGTGGTGTAGTGTTTGAATACTGGGCAGCTCAGTTTTTTAGTGAAACTTCTCTAATTTTACTGCTGAGATGGTCTAAGCTGCAAAAGGTTATACAAACCACATAAACGTTGGGAAGTATATTAGACTCTTAATAATCTTTTGATTTTATTAATTGATATTACCTATAATATATTGAAGGAAATTGATTCAGTCATCTAAGTTTTAACCCAATATTCGTCTTTCTTTCTAGGTAGCTCTATTATTCCTGAGCTTCTCTCATAATTCATTTGCAAACATTTTTTGTATAAGAAGCTCCTGCTTCGCAGTGGTTTTGCCAGGAACGAAGCCCAACTTTTTTGAGTCAGTTACTTGGGAGTTATCACTGGAATCTAGGGAAGAAAGAAAAAGCTTTTATGGAACTTTATCACATAATATAACTAGTCAAGGTAAGAAGAATGTGGATTTTATCTCAGGAGAAACATTCTGATTAAGAAAACCAACCAAACAGCCGAACAAAAGGTTGATCTAAGGACAAGGTTTGTCTCTTTGGCTACTGCTTGCCAATATTATTACCAGAGACACTAGAGTGATCTTAGCCATTGCCTCTTATGTGAAGGTCGGACTAAACTGACGCCTTTTTCTTCTAGTTTTGACGTGTGAATAGCAACTCTAAGCACATATCACTTGATCTTTATTTGAATTTATTCCCATTATATTTATCTTATTTTTTATAGAAATCTGTTTGGTCCACTACGATGTTCAAAAATCCTTTGAGGAACTTGAAGAAATGCTGGAACACACAGCTATTTTCTTCTACTAGATCCAGATCCAGATGGATAGAACGCCCTATTGTGAATGCCTGGCCACTAGACAACATTAGCTTCACAAAAGGTCTGGAGGCTATAGTTAACCTGGAAAAGCATAGCTCTGAACTGGAAACCGAGAGAATCTACAGCAAAATGTAAATGTGAACTCATGTGAGTGAGGAGGTGAAGCACTGTTCTGTAAAGAAAAGCATGCAACAGCCCCTGGAGCCATGGCCCTGTTGATTAAGGCACTAGTGTGAACTTTCTTTGTAGCAAGGTGTGTAGATGCTTTTAATTTCAATATAATAAAAGGAAATTAGGCAGGTATCAAGACTATTTCTATTTTCCAGCAACAAAAAGAAAAAGCAAGCCTTGTTATTTGAGCATTTTCTTACATGGAGATATTAAATAAATCTTGTGGCTTATTTTTCTTTTTTTTGAATAGGTCCTTATTTTCCAGATTTTACACTCAAAGAGATATACTTTATTCAGCTCTTCTAGACCAAGGCTGGACTCCTTCCTAGCCATAGACAGAGATTCTTTGAAATTGTTTTCAAAGTCCAGTGCTGGCTGAAACTATTTTAGGTCTTGTCTTTGCTACCTTGGCCCTATCTGAAAGGAAGAAGTTTGCCCTTGAAAGAGAGTTAAACTGCTGTGATTCACCGACTTGGAAGAATTGCAGGATGCTGACTGCCTGAAGTGGTGCCTCCCGCTGGACCAGTGCAAGTTTCCTTCCTTCTTGTCTGACCAAGCCATTAAGAAGTTAGTCAGTTCCCTGAAGGTTACTTCCAAGGAATCTACAAAAAGGAAATATCCAGCCCTGGAAAGGTAATTTACCTAGACAGGATTTGAAATGCAAGGTACTCAGTTGAGGGAAGAAAGTCCTATATCCCATCTGGCTGCAAGAATGCAGCTTCACAAGCTTTTTATCCCATGAGCTAACAACTGCAGACATTCAACTGGGAGATGTCCTATAAAATCTGAAGTACTTGGAGATCCACATTTTCTCTCATCTGGCCTGTTCAAGTCAGAACTGTGGTGCATCGGTGTTCTCAGAGAAACAGTTTTGGGTAAAGCAGCATCCTCCTTTTGAGAATGGTTTGAATCCTCATCTGTGTGTGATGTCTCCTGAACAGCAGCTATTTTTGACTTGGTCGAGGCACACGTGGGAGGAAATGCCAGCTAGTCTGCCTTCGGAGACTAGCTGTAACTTGCTTCCTTTGTTCTTAAGAAGCAGATCCCCAGCTGGTGTGAAATGGCATTTCAGAAGTGCTACTCCTGTGAGAAGCCAGTCCTAAAGCCTGCCACACTGATGGAGCCCTTTGCTCAGAAGCAAGTCTCTGGGCCAAAGTATGTTTTACTTTACCCAGAAACAGTGATGTTATTTGAAATCAAAGAGACTTTTAGGCTGAGGAAAGTGTGCTCAATATGTGATTTTTAGGGTCAGAGATAGAATGAGAGAATTTCCTTTTACTTCCTTCTCCTTTTTTAAATCCGAGTTTACTCTGGAGGAAAATGCAATAGAAAGTAATTTATAAAGGGATAGAGTGACTGCACAGAAATTCTAGTCTGAATTTGCCCCTTCGGTCCCTTTTGCAAATGAAATTAGTCAATTAAGCAAGACAGGATTGGCCCACAGGATGGCTATAGTTTAAAATATGTTTTTTCCCATCACTTCTTTCTCACTCCAGCCACACAACAACACAATAGCACATGCAGAAATGTTGAAGATATCTTCATAAAACAACCCCTCAAAAATGAAAACAATAAAACCAGCCCCCTCCAAAACACACGTGCATACAAATCAAAAGAAAAAGTAATCGGCCCAAAAAAGTGTCTCCTAAGTGTCAGTATAATGAAAAACCTTGACAACCATCTGAAAACCCATTCAATACCCAGATGCCTCTTCATTTCAAGTTTTGGGAACATTTACCTGCTTGTTCAATATACTGGGCTTAAAGCATGCAAAATGATGCAACAGGAGGAGTTTGTGAAAACTCCTTATTCCAATCTCCATTATGAATTCAGAAAGTGAAGTTTCGTAGATCAGGTGTACAAGTTGCTTCCTTTTCTTTCCTCCTTGCTTCGCTCAGTCACCGTGCCTGTTTCCTATCTATTAATGATTTTCTTTCAGGATTTGATCTTCACTGTGCTCTGCTGATACAACATGGCTCTACAAGTGCTGGATATTCTCATTGTGAAAAAGAATATGCCTGATTTATGTATTTATTCTTTTATTATTATTATTATTGTTGTTGTTGTTGTTGTTGTTATTGTAAATGGCCAAGCTTAATTCAGCTGCATTATTTTGCTTCATGAAGGGAAATCAAGGTTTCCAAATAATCATTTATGCTCTTGGAAGTTTCTGGAATCCTCCACACACCACAATGTATTTATATACTGCTGGGGAAATGTAAGCCACGTAGCATGTATGCTGAAAGTCAAAACCTAGGACATATTTGTGTTCTAGTTCCAAGAACTGTCCTTTTCTGTGATGGTCAAGCAGAAAGGGAACAGCAGTGAAGATTTATGAAAATTTGTCTGCTCACCTGGGGAGAAAGGAACACTTTCTTGTTCTGGTCAATGATATTTCATCCTTTACACCATTCTTATGACTCAAGGCTGTCTACAACATGATAGTTTAAAAGGACTCTTCCTTCCTCGGGTGCAGCTCTGATATGGATGCATAAATGCATCAGAATTTTGTTAAGTCTGAAACACACTCTTTCTCACAATTTTTGATGTTAAAGATAGAGCTGTCTCTCGCAACACAACAGGCCTCAGACTTTCACAGCTCCAAGACATAGATGTCTGATTACTTAAGCTCTATTTGAAATTAAATTCCAGCCTCAGGGGCATTTTGATAATAAATTCATTTAGGGAAGAATTTTCTTTCATAGACACAAACATCCTCTGCAGCCATGCTCTGTGCCTGTATATCTGCACAGAAAATTTCAGGGTACTTTCCCCACATTTCTTCTTCCTCTATTCTGTTCTACAGTTTGCCTACCTGATTCACCACTTCTTTTGGCAGGTAATACCTTCCCGCACTTGACTTAGCTTTATTGCACTTCCAAGTTTTCCTCCAGCTAAGCATGTCTACATCACTCCTTAAATCTGCCTTGGAGGATGCCAGTACATCTGAGCCTTCTTTTCACCTCTTAATCTTAGTCTCTTTTTCATAGCAGTGCTGAGTGCTAAAAGTGACTTTTTGTTGCTTCTCCCCAGCATCTTCCTTATTTGAGGGATGCAGAGAGAGGAATTAGAAAGCAAGCTGGAAGTGAGACACACAGAGTTGACACTGGCTGAAGCCGGGTTCTCACTGAGCACCATGGGTGGGGAGAAAGGAGAGTTCAAGACAACTCATGGGTGAGTTTGGCCTGAGTCCTGATCCTGAGCTGATACTTGTCACATGTGGAAAAAAAGAGAATTTCAGAAGAAATAGAGATTTTGCCTTCCTTGCAGAGAAAGAGGACAGGTAAATAGAATTTTAAAAATGAGGCTGAGAGAAGTGAGTATTCTGCTGGCATTCATTCCCCCAGGAATCATTTCTGATCCTGTAGTTTTGTTTCTAACAAATTTAGAACCATATTTTCCTGTTGCTGTATTTCAACCTTCATTTGATACCAGGCTACAGTGGCTTATAACAGTGATCAAAATGAATGTTGAATTCCCAAGGACTTTACTGAGGTTGCTGTACCCAACACTTAGAGAAGCATTTCAAAAAGGAGACTAAGGATTATTATTCCCATTTTGTGGATACACTGTAATATTATTGCAGACATCAAAACAAAAGATTGTCTTGCACATATTTCTTGTACATAGGAAACCAAACAGAGAGGTGGAAATCTCAAGATAAAGGATATTCCAGCAAATTTGTAGACTGCTTCCAGCAAAAAGATAAGCGCTCCATCTTCTGTGGTTTGCCTCCACTTGATTTCACAGATTAACCTCAGCCAGGAAAAGGCAGAGAACATTGATGAAGGACTTGCAGGAGTTTTCCTTGTAGCTAAATTCTGCTATCAACCACTTCTCAGGAAATTTTGTTTACAGGGACTGGAGTTTAGCACTGCATTTGCATTCAATGATAATGATTTTCTTTTAGTCCAGCTGGGATAACTGCAAAGATAGTGCCCAACTGCAACTACATCGAAGGGAGAGTGCAAAACAGATTGCACTTCTATGACAAGTGGAGCAGTGGGAAGGCAAAATGATCAAGAAGAATCCTCACTGTTAGAGCCATAACAAGGACTCTCGATTATGCAGGTTAAAATAACTTCGTGGCAGTGCCTTCTATCCACTTTTATTATCATTTCCAAGCATGGCACTTTTTTTTTTTTTTTTTTTTTTTTTTTTTTTTTTTTTTTTTTTTAAAGCAGGTAAAGCTTTGAAAAAATAGCCCGGATCTTTAGATAGAATTGAATGTTCTGTGACTTTAAATGAAAGCTCCACTGTTGTTGGGCAAATAAATTTAAACCACTTAACATGGCAGAGAAGGTCAGGCAAGCTTATTATAGTGATCATAGCGTTACAGCTATTGCGATTGACCGCTGCTCTTTGGAATCACCAATAATCAGAGGCCGCAAGCTGTGTTTGCAGAGAAAGGTCATCATTCATTTTTTTCGAAGCATTAATATCTTTTGTTTGTTTGGCTCAACATGAAACAGGAATCGATAGAGGTAATTCACAGAGCAATTAGCCCCTCATCTGTCAAACGGTGTCTGGGTGTATTTAACAAAAAGACCTTTGGAAAGGTTTAAAAAGGAGGAAAGTGCCTGTACAATCAACAATTTATATTTTCTACATGACACATTGTGTATGTATCTGTGAAGAGAAGGGACCTTGGGACTAAAAAAATATACATAAAACATGCTGTAAATCTGTACTCAGACTTTGAAAACCCACAGTGAGACAAACTGTTAACTGACTTGGAAAAGTTTTCCATGCTGTTCTTAGCAAAGATAAAAATTTTCTATCTGAGGCTCAGGGAACAAGTTAGACAGTTGTTCAAAAACTTGTTGGATTAATTACATGAAAGAGAATGAGGCTGCCTGTAAAACATATGAGGGCAGAGACAGAGGCAAAAGGTCTCTTGCAGCCCCGCTCTTACAGTTCAGGGTATTTCAAGTCTCTCTCCTTTTTTTCTTTCTTTCTTTCATTTTTTATTAATTTCCCAAAGACTTTTCTGTACTGGGACACTTGGGTGAATTAGGAAAATGGAGAAAAAGCTCAGAAATCAGAAGATAAGTTATTCCTCTGTTACACTTATGCAGCCTTTATATAAGCACTGGTGAACTCTCAAATTTGAGAGACTAAAGTGGTCTGGGAGGAAAAAGCTACAGCAGATCAAGGCCACTTTATTTCCGAATATGAGTGTCTCCCAGGGGATTTAATACACTTAAAGAGCTGGCTGTACAATATCTGTGTTTGGTGGTAGAAGACTGGCAAGGAGCACACAGACTATTAAAAGAAGGGTGTATTTTAGAGGTATCATAAAAGGTTTGGAGGTCGTCCCAGAAGTTCAGATGCTTATTCCAGATAAAAATTTGGCTATCTCAGCCTCCAAAGAATAAGTAGCTGGACTTTATTAGATGAGTAACTGGAGGGTAAGTTTTGCTCAGTTTTTTGTCTCATTGCTGAAATTCAATATAGCATCAGGGAGTTGGTGGAAGCTAAAACCTCCTCC